CCGCCTGCAGCAGGGCTGGCCGCGGGGAGGGCAGGGACTGTCGGCCCGGGGCATTGCTCCTCACCCCGCACTCCCACCTCACACTGGAGACATCCAGGTCACAGGCTTAAAAATGAGCAGATTTTGAAACACAGTGATTCGGGCTTGGTTCAATTGGCTTTGCGGTCCCTTCGCCTTTCAGGCTCCCCGTTTCTAACTTGCGTTGTCAGCCACGGCAGCTAGAAACTTGTAGAAGAAAGAAAGGGGGGAGCTGAGCTCCTCTGACATGGAGCGTTTGAGACGAGCACCAGTGACACGTCACCCCACCAAGTAAACATTAGTTCCTGAATCCCTGAGCTGTAACATGCCAAATCCCTGGCACCGAAGTACAGCCTAGAGAAACCGGCGGAGGGCATTTCAAGCTTAAGGTAAAATATTCCTTTAGTTGTTTCCTTAATTAAAAAAAAAAAAGTGGAAACATTAGACATCGCCACCTGTTAAGCTTATTGAGTTAGGTTACAGGTTAGCAGTCCTGACCATACGTTAATAGGGCAGTTTTATGCACCTATGAAGAGAAGATCTGGCCTCACATACGAGGGCTGTTCAAAAAGTATCGAGACTGATGCTATAAGAAACAAAATATTTTATTTACAAGGGTTTTGGCTTAATCTCCTTCGAAGTATGCTCCTGCAGCCGCGCGCTTCTCTCAACGTTTCTGCCATTGCTGCAAACACCTCTGATAAGCAATTTGTGGAATCGCTAAAAGCTGCCCAGTTGCATTTTGTTTTATGGTTTCCACATGAAAAAATCTTCTTCTTTTCAAGGTTTTCTTAAGTTGAGGAAAGAGAAAAAAGTCGCGTGTGGCCATATCAGGAGGTTACGGCACTTGTGGGATACGGTGTTTGGCTAAAATTTGGCTAAAAGTTGCTTCACAAGCTGTGCTGAGTGGGCAGGCATGTTGTCGTGGTGAAACATCCAAGAGTCAGACACCCACTTTTCTGGTTGTTTTTCTGGACATTTCATTCCCAAATCGCCTGTTAGAATCGAATGACATGAACCAACAGAAATTCCAACTTCTGCTATCTTTCGGACAGTCAGTCGCCTATCATTTCAAACCAAACTGCAAACCGCTGCCACATTTTCATCATTAAAGGGCGTCCGGAACGCTCATCACTTTCGACTGATGGTCGTCCTTCTTTAAACCAACGATACCATTCAAAAATTCTTGCACAGCTCGTAGTGTAATGACCCAATGCTATTTTAAGTAATTCAAATGTTTCACTTGCTGTTTTCCTGATTTTCATGCAAAATTTAATGCGCACACGTTGTTCTGGACACTGACATAACAAAACGGGATGTGAGACACAAACGATCTTACTTCAACCGGTGGCCACAGAAAACTGGGGAAACACCATATGCTGCAAACCTGTCCAGAGGAGTCCCATCATGCCAAGACATGTTCAAAGTCATACCCCCCACCCAATACTTTGTACTACAAATATACCTTCAGTCTTGATACTTTTTGAACAGACCTTGTATACCAACACCCTTAGCTTTCTTAAGCCCAGATGCATGAACACTGAATTATTTGAGCATTTGCTTTACTGTTTCCCTGTAGAGATCATAATTGCGTTTATTATATGTTCAAATTACTGAATGTCCTGTAATGAACCTGCTACACTGACAGTCCTTGCTTTGCCTTCGCCTGGAAACATGGGCGACTGGTGCCACCTTAGGGGGGACACATGCCCCCCCCCACCCCCAGCAACCAGTCAGTGACTGGGGTGGGGTTCACCCACGGCTGATCGTGCCCACTGGGAATCAGCTGCAGCGCTCCCAGAAGTGGCCGCAGTGCCTCATCCTGCGCTCCCACTCCCTGGCCAGCGCTCACAAGTGGGGCACACCCCCCCCCGCAGTCCGTCACCTAATCGGGGAGCACAGCCTGTCAGGGAGTGTACCAGTGCTCTCAGGGGGTGCATGTACACCCCTGTGCACCCCTACACATCACCACTGCCTGGAAACATTTCCTCCAAAGATATGAACAGGACACACAGCTGTTATGCTTTTTATTGAGTTAAACTCAAAGAGTAAAAGAAAACAGGCAATAATAATACCATTTTGGAGAGAATACTGGCAGCTGGCAAGAATGTACTTTAAAAAAATACCTCATCAGAGAACCCAACACATGCACAATCTGCACCTTCATTTGAGTCTTCATGGGACCTGCTGACACTTATATTATTGTACCAGATGATGTCACTCTAGGACTGCATAAGGATATGTATGTAAAGAAGGTGAAGAGCCCAAAATAAATTATTACATTTTTTTTTAACTGTAGAGCAGTGGTTCTCAACCTTTTCAGAATCAGGACACCCCTCCACAACCTTTTTGAAGGTGGTGACATCCCTGTGAGAACCACTGTTGTGCTCAGCTCACCTCACCTCAGTGCTCCTCAATGGGGTTTTGCTGCCAGGTGAAACTGCCCTGTGCACAGAGCTGTCACACATGCATGTTCCTCCTGCATTAGGGTTCTCTGATCAGCCTAAAGCAGGCAGGAGAGCTGGTTTGGGCTGTAGCTCTTCCCAGTCTTGTTCCCCTAGTATTTCTCCAAGAAACAGAGGTGCATGGGTCAGCTCCCCCTAACCCAGGCTCCCCTGTTTCCAGGAAATGCTGTGCAAGGTCATTCTGGGAAGGGCTGCTGCATGAGCCAGCTCTCCTGGCTGCTTTAGGCTGATCAGAGAGCCCTAAAGCAGGAGGAAGGTGCATGTAAAAGGCAGTTTTACTTCCCAGTTGTGATGGTTGCATCTGCATTGCGTATCCCTGAGGGAGTCTCACAGCACCACAGTCGAGAACCACTGCTGTGGTGCAAGAAAGCTTAAAATCAGACCTTCCATTGGGAATCAGCTTTTAGAGATAAAGAGCAGGCCCCACATTTGCTTCATTATACTTCTGCTATTGGGAGATCAAGCTGAGGGTTTTTCATTCATTCTGCTTTGATGCGTCATGAACTGATCTATGGATTCCTTCTTGAACTACTGAAGTTTAGCCCAGGAATAATTCCAAAACTGAGGAGACAATTAAGGCTACAGTAAAGTCCATTTAAAAAAAAAACCCTCAGCAAACAGGCAAAAACCTTTCTGAAACTCCCTGTTTTATCTATTACTTAATGTGCTTGAAGACATGTATAAGAGATACAAATAATGGACAACAACCATCATAAAGCCAATACAGTATTCCTTAACTTCATAAAAATATCTGAAGGCTGAGGGCTTGCTTCTTTTGTATACATCATTTCCATACTCACATAATTCCATGGATTTCATTGAAGATATTATTTGTGATTTCCCCATCTTGATATTCAGTTTACTCCTAAATATCAGAATTTGGCCCTAAATGCTATACAAGCAATTAGTCAATGCACATACACTATTATTTATTTAAAGTGAGCAAAATGATAAAGGCTCAAAGGCAGCAGAGATAGTGGCACATGGGAAGCTACCAAATAAAGAAAGGCATCAGCATTTGCTGAATATGTGAGAAATGTAATGTTTCTTTACCCACAAGCAAGTGGCCAGTAAGAAGGCCAGCCCAAGAATTCTTTAAAATTATAATCTGCAAGCTTTTTATTAATACCCAAACATTTTTACTGACATATGTTTAACATAATGTGAATGTAACCCTTTTGTCAGCCCCTGGACAACAATAACAAGGACCCTGTTCAAATTTAGGGGTTCAACACCAACCATGGATAAAAAGTTTGGTTGTCAGCAAAAAGTTTTCAGGTTGTCAGTAAAATATATATATTGACTGCAGCAATGGCCTTACACGGTGCTGCTCCCACCCTAGGAGTCCCCTCCTCACCCCCACACCCTAATACCCCTGGCCACACTCCGTATTGTGCTGCCCCCTCCAGTCAGCTCTCCAGCCTTACCCCAGCCAGCCCTGCTCCCCCATCCTGCCATGGACCTCCACCTACCACCTGTCTGACTTCCCTGCCCTGAAGCTGTGTCCTGACTGCATCACTCCAACCCTGTCCTGCCAAGGACCACACACTATGCTATTCATAGCTCCTGAAAAGGCAGGGAGACTTCTTGCTCTCCCAAAGGGCTTTATTACAACAACACACACACACAAATATGTCTGTCAACTTCCTATTGATGTTATCATGTCAGACCTCAGGACTCTTACTACTACATCCCCCTTTCAGAAGAAATTTGAAGATTTCCAAAGAACTGCAAAATCATCTTGAAAAGAGAAGTTACAAGCACATCACTTGCTTGTGAGTCTTTACCACTCACTTCCCTACAAACAGAGGGTAATCAGAACAGAAGCATCAATAAGCTTTTTCATTTAAAGCAGATGTATTCACATTCCAGTCTACTTGGTGGCACTGATGCATGTCCTGACCTAGTATAGTAAACAGGTGGAATACAACTGAGATGCTCTCGATTCCTACAGAGAAGACTTCTAGGTATCTACACCTAATATGAACAAGGAGTATCTGCCCTAGCCTGGAGAGTGTCTTGTACTCCTGCCCCTGGAATCCAAACTTCCTGCTGTGAGGAAAGAGCAGGTACATTTCCTGAGGCCTGATATTACAGTTCCATCTCTGATAGTCCTTTATCAGTTTATTTTTCTCACAAAATTCCCATGCATCGACAAGTTTTGGAACCAAGTCATCTATCACAGTTGGCAGAGTTGTAAGGAGTCAGCACCTCATTAGCAACTCAGCTGGATGCCA